TGATGAGTTACTCAGAACATCCTAGGGAACATCTTTTTGTATTATGCTGAATTTTTCTTCGAGACAAAGAAATTGATCTTTGGTACTTGAAAAATCAAGGTTGCATTGACTGACAGGCAGATGCAATCTCAGCTTTGCGTAAAAATGGCCTCCCACTTCAAACAAACTGAACAGCATTTGTGTCGTGTGTCAGTTTTTGTGGAAAATTCATACATATTTATTTTGAAAGAGAATTCATAGTCAACTAAGCATATCTACATGAATATATATGAAGTGGCATGCTGGTCAAAATGTTCATTTTCTTTCACCAGTAGGGAGTACTTGGGAAAAAAACTGGTATAATGCTCATTTTCAGCAATATACCAACTGTCAGTCAGTCAATACTCTCACAGTATTTTAGAGAAGATGAGCAACTCATCTGCACTAATTAAATTTCACTTGTTTGGCCTAGACCACCAAGTGTCAGGACTTCTATTGGCCTCCATTATATGGTTGTAAAGAAATGCGACTTCTCAAATGTGAAAGTTAATTAATTACTCTAGAACGTTTTGCAACCCATTTCTCCTAAAAGCCTACCATGCATGTTTCTTCCAGTAGCTTTTTCTAAGGACTTTCCTCACACTCTCTGTAGAAATCTCTTAAAAGAAAAAGCAATAAGATGTACAAAATTCTTGCAGCCTTGTTACAAGCTGCCATGTTGGCAGCTACCATTTTCAGCAGCTATACTTCAAGATGTATTTTTAAGCTACTTAAGAGAATTATAGGGATTAGCAGCTTCACAGCAGTGTTAAATGTCAGCTCTTCCAGGCTTTCTGGAATCCTAGGACTCCTTTTTAAAATTATTATTTAGTTTGGGAGAGTTCAGTAATTCAGATTATATATAGTTGAATCAGAGTCTCTCAAAACCCATTCTGAAAGGCAACCAGCACTTCATCAGCACATTTGAGAATGAAACAAGGGCTCTGATTTTATCCCAGTTTTTGCCTACCATCCCCTACTGTTAGGGAAGCGCTATCAAACACTGCATTGAACAACTACTTGAGATGCACTTTGCATGTGCCTCCAAAACCTCACCTGAGAACTGCAAGCCTGATGCCCAGCCACCATGTTGCAAAGGACCTGAGCAGACCTGGAGACCTTGTAGCTACTCAGCTTGACAATGTCAGTCTGAATTGGAACTTTGCAGAAAAGACATTAATCTCCTAGACATCACGTTTTTTCTTCTCAACTTTTCCGCAAAACGAAATGTAGTTTGAGACGTGTTCAAATAATTTTTGAAAAGATAAATAACAAAAAATGTTTTTTGTGAGGAAATGGAGAAAGATAAATAAACAGAAATGGGAAAGGGGGACTGAGAAAGAATTGGGGAAGAAGAGAGTTCACTGTGGTCAGAGGGGAGAACAGAACAGATGTGAAGACCAGTGCAAGGAAGGAAACAGGCAATTTGACAGAGAGAGTATCAGCTGGAGTTCAAGCCAGTCCCCCATTTTCTCTCTTATTCATAGCAAAAGCCCCTCAGGAGTATCAAAATACTATTCTCATCTCCTTTCAGATCATCTAGAGCCTGAAGGGATCCTGAAAGTCTGGGGGACTCCTGTGTCCCATCCTTCCCAGTGCCAACTAGCCTCTAGGAGGACCACCTTCTTTGGGGAGTCAATAACCCCAACAAGATTAAGCACTGGGACCATGGAATGAAGGTAATGGAAACAGAAATCTCTTAAGCCTCAGAAAGACAAAATTAAGGGACAGGTAATGCCTCCTTATGGTGGAAAGCTGACTACAGTGAGATGAAGAAAATAATCTAGTCTGAGTGGGATGGGCTGGGGTAGATGTGGAGCCCGCCTAGGGCAGCCTGTCAGAAGGGAAAGGTGACAGGAATGGTGGGGGCACAAGATCGGTGCAAATACAGTGTGTGCTGTACCATGCACCTTGTGTGTAACCCCATCTATGATACACACCCTTGGCTACAACAGTTCACATGCCACTGTTTTCCTATGTCCTACAGGCTTGATGGGGCAAGAAGGAAAGTATCAGAAACTGTAGCGTAGGGACAATATCTTCTGTGACTACCACAGTAAAACTGTCTGCAGTTGAGAATGGAGTCCGCCCGATCTTTTTTCGCATTCCAAATATTTTAAAGTGAAACCATGAGACCCATTCCCACAAGACAGAAATTAGGACAGGTGCTTGGAAGCCACTCATAATTTTCCAGCTAGCCGCAATAGCATCACCACCAGTAACTGCAAATGAGTAACTAATTGTTAAGGCATTACAAAGAACAAATACATTGTTAATAAAAAATTTCTAGGAAATTCAGTAGCATGAAGCTTTACAAGTGCAGGATAGCAGGTGTTTCATGGTATTTGTTCCCCTTCTAGAACTTGGAATTCAGGAAAATGGAAAAAAATAAATAAATGCCAACAGCAAAACTTCCAAAACTGAAAATACCAAGTGAAGGTCACACAACCTTTGTTTTACTTTTATGACTAGTTACCCCCAACACACATTTGTACCTTGTATTCAAAGCGTTCTGAACATCAGTCATCTATACCCTTCCTGTAATTAAATCAAAGGTTGCTCCTTGGGAAAAAACCTTTCTTCCATCTGCTACGTTTGACAACGCTTTCACTCATACATGTCACCAAATTCTGTGCTTTCATTACCCACCCTTAAACCCACACGTCACACGTTATCTCCCACCTAACTGCTGGCAGCTCCATCACAAGACCGTAATTTTGTCCTCTCACTGAAACTCTACAGAGCAGCATGGAAATCAAATGCCACGCCACGCACCCAGCAGCTGACTTCCTGGACTCAGATACAGAGGATAAAACAGAGGGGATCCATATCTGCATTTAATAGCAGGGAGGTATATAATCCTTTTTTGGTCTCAGCCAGTTCTCAGAAAACAAATGATTACAGTTATTGGAATGTGCAGCTTAACTTCATTTTCTTTATCTTCAAAGTTTGAAGCAACTGGATTTACCTTTTATTTCCTTCCCAACTCAATTTACTATTGTAGCACTTAAAGCCTACACAACAGACTTGCTGTTTTATCAATATTATCAATTCCACCTTTGGAGAATCTCTCTCATGTAAAGCACAACAGTAAATAGAAAAGTGAATAAAAATGGTTTAATGTAACACAGTTCTACAACTTATATGGTTTATTTTCAATGCTGTCACTTTTTTAAAGCACAAATACAGACTGCAGCATGTTGAGGGTGGGAGAGAGTAAAGGGAGTGAAGACATAAGTTAGATCCTACTACTCAAATACCAGAGATGGTATTTGGACATAAACCAATTTCTTCTAAGGCTGCGACTGCTAGATCTGCTAAATCTCATGCTGATTTCCACCAGATAAGAATTTATTTTTTAACTTTTGGTAAAATGCAAACAAATCTCTAACAACACAGGAAGTTAGCAACTAGACATACACAGCCTGACAATTTTTCTACAGGAAAGAAAACACAAGGGTACAGTCAGTTTTCAGTTGCCAGTGCTTCCAAACACAAAACCTGCCTTTATGTTTGTACCTTCGTTGCTCCCAAAGGAGTTGAACATGACAAAATCAAAGACCAAGAGGGGCTGCATGCATGTGTGTGTGACAGAAAGCAGAACACTGAAAAATTCAAAGTTTGGGTAGTATGTCATTAAAGCTATCAGTTTTGTTTTGGTCTCCTGCTGTGGCCTTACCAGAAGCAGCTTATCTGATCAATTAATAGAAGACTGCGTACAAAACACAAAAAAGCTCTTAGACCAGACAACCTGTGATTAAAACAATTATGAAGCAAACACATCTACAGACTATATTTGTACGTATTTAAAATTGCCAGATTGAAATAAGTCCTTTTCTAGTAATATCACATTTGCTTCACACTCCATTTCACACTGATGACAAAAATCATGATAGCAATCACAGAACACAGTCAGAAATGAAGTGTTCACTGTACGTGAGCAAACTTATGGTACTGATTTGCCAACAGCTAGAAGATAAAGTCTCAGAATTGAACAAACACAATAAGGAAATACTGTAGCAGCTTAGAAGACAGAGGAGATTAATAAAACATATGATACTGTAAATACCGTATATAATACATAGGAAAAAGATCAGGAATTGGGGAAAAACATTATTTTGCCTTTTCTGCATTTCTTTTGATTATTCTAAAACTAGTCACAGATTATTCTCTTCCTGAAATTTCCTGCTTTGCACTTTTCTATTTACAACACTCAAAATAAAAAAGGGTGATTTAATTAACACCCACATGCTTAAAATATATAAGAATGTATTTAATATAATGCACAATTCATTTTAAAATCTGGTTTATTACTAGAGAACATCATCAAGTTAATTATCTATATGATATATGAATCACATGGTAAATTCTAGACGTCACTGGATTAAATTTTCAAAAGTCAGTAAATTATGCTGTTAAATTTATGTCTTGTGCTTTCCATGTCACTTCTGACATTTTCAGCTATTACCTTTCCTACCAAGCATGCCAGTTTAGGTCTAGCACTTCTCCCTGAACTCTTTCCTATTTCGAGCATTTTAAATATCTTTTCCGAGGTGCTCTTCATCTAGCATGGCACAATATTAAATCAACACAGAAACCCATATGCAAGAAGCTTGTCCTGAAAGACCAATGTAAACCTTTAAGTCCTTAGGAAATTCATCTTTAATCACATTTGAATATAGCCATACATTCATATTTTCTGGTATGAAGAGGCACAATATGTGCTCTAGCAAGAGTTTTGCACATGATGGAATGCAGAAGTCTACATCACCCCACCAGCCAATACCAGAGGGAGGTAGAGGGCCGCTGCCAGCCTTCATTCCTTCCCTGCAGTAAATCCACCTCAAAAGCAAAAACAATTCTGATCCTTTATAAATCCTATGTAAGACCATGATAATACTGAAGTCATCCATCTCTAGAAGGCAATAATAAAAGCATCCAAGTCAGATATTACATATTCATTTGTAATAGAACATTCTTACCTTTTCAGTTTCATATAATTTTCACTAGCTGCAGGTCTGCATTCAGCACGTTGCACCACTATCCCTTCCAAGGCAAGTTTATCTAGAATTAAAAAACCAAACAAAACTGGACATTAAAATAACATTCACCAACATGGTCAACATTTGAAATATTGTTCATTAATTTAAAATTTAGTAAATGCAATGTAATTACAAGTTCTCAAATTAAGGTCTAAAATCTCTACTACTCAGACAACAAGAAATAAGTAGGAAAAAGATGTTTTCACAGCTGGTATCCCCTAGACTTCCTTATTTTGCCCTCAGATGTTTTACATATTAAGAATGAAACACAAAGTTCAAATTTTTAAAAAGAGATGGTAACTGTGTGATGTGGTCCTCCTTTCTCTAGATGGTCGCGCTCAGCTTATCTAGGAACTGTTTTCTGGAAATGTGCATTGAATACTGTCAGTGACCATGAAAAAAATAACCTACAAAGAGAACCAAATCATCAAAGTATCCAAAATTAGTGGAAGATAAAATGAGAAATAACTTTATCCCTATCCTCAGAAAAAGAGTAACCTATTTTCATCTTATTACAACAAAAAAAAAATTGTTCATTAAAGGAACATAATGCAATAAAGGAATAATACTACATATGCTAACACTCAGGTAAAAGAAATAAAACCTTACAGTTAGTAGCAGTTTAGGAAATCACATACTAAGTTTTAGTTAACACAGTCCCCTTGTAATCTGACATGAACACCTTTTCACCTAAAGCAAGGACAGCTAACAGAGCAATGCAATAGTACCAGCCAACTCCGTAAAGGCAGAAAAGCCTTAAAATTAAAAGCAACTTGAAGCAGGAAGAAGCTTTTCTACTACCACGTTCTAGTGCATACTGGGAGGGGAGGTGTGCAGCAACTTAACCATCTCTTTTGGGCAGAGCCAGCGCAATATCTGTAAAACCTCTGTGAACAGCCTTGCATAACAAGAAAGGATGAGCTGCTCAGCTTTAATTGCTTGATTAGCTCTTGCTATTTAAAATGTCCTTCCAACAGAGAGCCTTGCCTTGCTGTTGGTGTAGGGGACTACACTGTCACCGTCACCTTCAGCTGGCAATGTCACAGAAGATAACAGAAATGCTTAGAAGTACTGAAGCCAAGTAACACAGGGCACTCTGAGATGCCTGTAACTTCTCTATTGCTTTACAGACTGAAATATTATTACATCTGGAAATCTAAGTCTGATCTCCCTGAATAATGCAGAGAGTGATTGCTTCAACACTAAGTATTTAAAAAAATTATTTAATTTAAAGTTTCTTGGTTTGATATAAACTAAATCCTTGAAAAGAATAAGAATGCCACACTTTTCCAGGTAGTTTTGAATGAAACAAAGCAAATTTTTATGAAAACATTTCTGGTTTTACAGATTCCTAAGATTTACAGTCAGGAGAGACAACCTGACCAATTTGCCTGGCCTCCTGCATATCACAGACAGCTAAATTTTATCCTCTTTCTTCAGTACAGAACCTAGTAACTCATGTGTGACTAAAGTGGTATTAATACACCCAGGACACACGATTCCCAGGCAGCAGTAAAAAGTGGAAGACAGTGCAGTAAGGACAGGCTATGGGCACATGTGCCTCCAGCTCCTCAGCAGGTAGAAGTTCTGTGACTCTGTGATTCTGTGAAGTTGGGCTGCTGCTTCCCAGCGTTCCAGTCAGAAGCCCTGGTACTTCCCACTGCCCACTTATACTGCTGTGCAGCTTCCCAGGCTATTGCATCTGATGGCTGGACAAGGAGCAGCCCCCTCCCACACTAGACCTCAGCTCTACTCTTCCAGACCAGATGCATCTTGTGGCACCTCTCTTCCATTCAAAGGGCAGCCTTAAATCTGGTGCCCTTCTCAGACCACCTTTCCCTAGCAGCTATACAGCTAGGGAACAGGATAGCCCAGTCTTCACTTGGCACTCCCTTATTCAGGCATCCAAAGATACATACTACATTTGTTTTACTGACCGCTGCATAGAAAGATGACATTCAGTTGTCAATGATGTACGCAGGACAGAACCTCTGCCCCAATCCTTCCACAAACATACGCACTGCAAGCCCCATCTACAGTGTACTCCTGGGCGCACAAACTTCATATTTGGCCATACTGAAATGTTATCCTAAGTATCCAAGTGATTCTGTATCAGCAATTTATCTTCTTATTGACCACATTCTCAGTCCGTATCATCTCCTAACTTCATCAGTAACTATCTCCTTGATCACTGACTAAAACCAAAATAGAACCAAGAACCAAATCACAAAAACATTTTAGTGATAACTCTCTGCTCAACATTTGCCAGTTTGAAACCTGCAGATAATTTTTGTATAGTTAAATTAAACAGAAACTAATATAGTATATATTCTAATTTGTCCTGGGTTAAGCTGAGACAGAGTTAACTTTCTTCATAATAGCTAGCAAGAGGCTGTGTTTTGGATTTGTGCTCAGAAGAAAGCTGATAAAAAGTGATGTTTACGTGGCTGCCAAGGTCTTTCAGCTTCTCTGGCTCTGTCCGCAGACCAGAGAAGCTGGGAGGGAGCACAGCCCCAGTTACTAGACCAGGATTTGATATTAAGGTTTGGGATTGAGACCCAGAGTGGCCAACAATCTCTTCCATAACATACATGTCATGCCCAGCATATAGGTGAGGACCCTCCAGAAGATTGTCTCTTTTTGGTTCCAGATCTCTTTTGCTCCAGGTCATCTCACTCCAGGTGGTCGCCCTCCCAAGGCCTTCCCCCCTCACCCCAGTCAGCTCTCGGTCTGGGAAGCTCGGACTGTTATCTCTGTTCTGTGAGTGCAGTTTCGGGACTCTCCCTGCTCTGGGATCGTTAGCCGGGAACAGGCTGAGCCTTGGTCATCGGGTGGGGGGCAATATCACTGTGTATCACCCATTTGTATATTTGTATACAGTATTATTTTAAATATTATTGTAGTTTAGTTATTAAATTGTTCTTTTCTCAACCCACGAGCCCTTTTTTCCCTTTACCCCTTTAATTCTCTCCCCTATTGTTGGGTGGGGGGTGGGAGGGACTGGGTGAGCAGGCGTGTAGTTTGGCCCTCAGCCAAGGGCAAACCCATCACACTCCTTTTTGGTGCCCAACGTGGGGCTCGAGCAGTTGAGATAATGACAGACTTGAACAGGGTATATTAAAGAATACTTCCAATAAGCATTCACTATGTTCCCTGAAATGCTGCTGTGGGAAACATTACGCTACTTGCCATATATACAACTTATCAGTATTTATGGGCTGCTGGTCATCTGTGTGAGCTGGGCAGAGGTTATGACGTTGCTGATGAAGGGGATTGCTGTGTTGTGCCCTTGTTTTTTTGCTTTGGGTAAAATGAAAATCTTATCAGGCTTAATCTTGTTTGTTTATACAATGGTTTTAGAGGATTCTGACAGCCCTTGGGCTATTCAGATCAGCATTTTAATTCTTGTCATCCTGTAGCAAGGCCTCTTGAATGTATGTCAATGCATATATATTGTTAAGGTTAATTGACGATTCCCTCAATGCATTACCAGCGATGACCCAGCTGCCACCACCACTCCCCCAGCCGATATTGTAGACACACCAACCACTGCAGCAGCAATTG